CCAGCTGCCATGTGGGGGAGGTGTGACCTCTCTCCCGCCTGCGGCAGCCCACCCTGCAGGGTTTCTGTGGCCAGGGCTGTGCTGGGACCCCCCCATAGAGCAGATACCAGTAATAGACAGGGGGCTTCCTTGAGCAATTGCTTACTGTGCGTAGGCCTACTGCTAGTGTTGGACCCCCGTTCACAGGTGCCCACACAGAAACTACACACAGAAGAATTTCTGCAATGCTGGCAGTTACAGGCCAGTGACCCTCACTTGAGTACCGGACAACTTGTCTGAAATGATAGTAAAAGAACAGACTTATCACACACTGAGAAATGCAATATATTAAGGATGAGGCAGTACAGCTTTTGTTGAGGAATCGTGCCTCAGCAACGTATTAGAATTCTACAAATCTGTGTTAGCTAGGGCATGCAGTTTACTTAGACTTTCAGAAAACCTTTGATGAGGTTCCGCCAACTCTGCACAGAAAAATGTTGGGATCTAAATTAGTTGTTATTGCTCAATAAAAAGGTATTGGGGTCATAGTGGATGGTTCCCTGGAAACATTTGCTCAACATGCAGCAGCAGTCAAAAAAAAACCCCAAAACCACACACGTTAGCAACCATTAGGAAAGGGATGCATTAGAAGAAGCATTTCCAGCAGATCTAGAGAAGTGATTATTCCCTTTTATTTGGCACTGGTGAGGCCACATCTCGTAGAATCATAGAATACTAGAACTGGAAGGGACCTCAAGAGGTCATTGAGTCCAGTCCCCTGCCCTCATGGCAGGACCCAGTACTGTCTAGACCATCCCTGATAGACATTTCTCTAACCTATTCTTAAATATCTCCAGAGATGGGGATTCCACAACCTCCCTGGGCAATTTATTCCAGTGTTTGACCACCCTGACAGTTAGGAACTTTTTCCTAATGTCCAACCTAAACCTCCCTTGCTGCAGTTTACACATCTGGAGTATTGTGTCCTGTTCTGGGCCCCTGACTATAGAAAGGATGTGGATGCGTTGGAGAGGGTCCAGTGGAGGGCAACCAAAATGATGAGGGGGCTGGAGCACATGACCTACAAGGAGAGGCTGAGGGAGTTGGGCTTATTTAGTCTGCAGAAGAGAAGAGTGAGGGGGGATTTGAGAGCAGCCTTCAACTTCCTGAAGGGAGGTTCCAAAGAGGATGGAGAGAGACTGTTCTCAGTAGCGAGGGATGGCAGTGTCATGATTATGAGGGTTAGCCAGCAGCCTGGGGATTAAGGAGTTAACTACACCTAGCCAGGTGGAGTGACCAGTAGGAATGTAGGTGGGACTTTCAAACTGGGACAAAGGAATTTGGGTTTTTTCCTTTCTCCTTTTGTCTCTCTGGGTGAGTCCTCTGCAGCTACAGGGAGGGACAAGCACATCTCTCTCTCCAAGACACCATTCTTCATTTTCTATAAGTAGGGTAAAGTTTAGGTAGTTTCATTAGGCTTTATTGTTTTAAGGGTTGGGTATGGGATCTGAGATCTGGCACTGTTTAAGAGATGTTTGGCTTTTCTTTTTAACTAAGTTCTAGCCCATGGTGTAATTCCTCCATGAGTATATTTGGTTACCTTTCCATCTGATCCTTATGCTTGCAACAGAAATATTGTTGTAATAATAAAAGTTTTCTCTTTTCTTTTTATTAACCTGGCATTGGTTACTTGTGTGTCCTGATTTTTATAATGGGGTGAGATTTCCCAAATGATATTTCCCCTAATCTCGTTATTAATATTTGGGTGGTGGCAGTGGAAGTTTTATTCCCAAAATCTAGGTTTTAAGATTTTGGGGGAAGTTTTATAACAAAGCCTGGTAGATAAGGCTTTGGGGTACACTTGCTGGCCCCCACTTCTGCATTTATCATGCCAGAGTGGGGAAGGAGCCATGACAGGCAGAACAAGGAGCAATGGTCTCAAGTTACAGCGGGGGAGGTCTAGGTTGGATATTAGGAAAAACTATTTCCCTAGGAGAGAGGTGAAGCACTGGAATGGATTCCCTGGGGAGAGGGTGGAATCTCCATCCCTAGAGGTTTTTAAGTCTCAGCTTGACAAGCCCTGGCTGAGATGATTAGTTGGTCCTGCTTTGGGCAGGGGGCTGGACTCAATGACTCCTGAAGTCTCTTCCAGCCCTAGGATTCGATGATAGCTAGTAAGGCAGAAAATTTCACAATACCTTTATATAAACCCCTAGTATGTTCACACTTTGAATACAGTTCTGATTGCCCTATCTCAAACAATTATACTAGAAGTGGAAAAAGTACAACAAAAGGCAACAAAAATAATTAGGGGCATGGAACAGCTTCTATTTAAGGAGAGATTAGAAAGACTAGCTCTGTTTAGCCTAGGAAAAAGACAACCAAGGGCAGATATGACAGAGATCTATAAAATCATGAATGGTATGAAGAACATGAATAAGGAAATATTATTTACCTTTTCTCATAACATTAAAACCAGGAATCACCCAATGAAATTATAAAGCAGCAGATATAAATCAAGTATAAGGACGTATTGCTTCTCACAGCTCACAGTAAACTTGTGGAACTCACCCAGGGAATTTGTGGATGCCAAAACTATAACCTGATTTTTTAAAAATAATTAGATAAGTTCAAGAAGGATAGGTCAGTGGCAGTTAGCCAAACTGATCAGGGACACAGACCCATGCTTCAGGTGTCTCTCAGCCTCTGACTGCCAGAAGCTAGGTCCAGGCAACCCAGCATGGATCCTTCAGTACATTACGCTGCGCTGGCGCTAGCCACTGTCATAGAATCATAGAACTGGAAGAGACCTCAGAAGGTCATCAACTCCAGCCCCCTGCTCTAGGCAGGACCAATCCCAACTAAATCAACCCAGCCAGGGCTTTGTCAAGCCGAGACTTAAACACCTCTAGGGATGGAGACTCCACTACTTCCCTAGGTAATCCATTCCAGTGCTTCACCACTCTCCTAGTGAAATAGTTTTTCCTAATATCCAACCTGGACCTCTCCCACCGCAACTTGAGACCATTGCTCCTTGTTCTGCCATCTGTCACTACTGAGAACAGCCTCTCTCCAGCCTCTTTGAAACCTCCCTCCAGGAAGTTGAAGGCTGTCAGTACAGGTTACTGAGTGAGAGGGACCCCGGTTGGCCATTCTTTATGCTATTGTGCTCAGATGCTGAGCTGTTTCTTGAAGGCCAGATACTTGAGCGCAAAGTAGTGGAGAGATGAAGCAACGTGACACCTGTGTAGCCTTTAAAATTCCACACATTGTGACGCTATATTTATTGTATAATTTCAACGGGGGAGGGGGAGAGGAAACACCAACTCCAAAGAAATCTAACAACATGTAACTTTATTGAAGCATCTTTAACAGTTAAATTGCAGGGAAAGAAACCATAAAACTGGTACAGCATATGGCATATCAATATTGTTGCGACTGTGGCTTCCAACACCAAATTTCCATTAAAAAACCGTGACCATAGAGGGATATTCTGTATACACAGAGAATGTGTAAGGAAAGGGTTACCACTGCAGTGTAACCAAAATAGTACATTAACAGCTTGTACTACTCACTCTAGTAACACAGAGATGATTGTTATAAAATCCGAAAGTCCAGCTTCAAGAGTTTTAAAATAATTCAACACTTCAACTCTGTATCAATCCAAAGATACACAGTGTGGGCCAGATTCTGGACCTTTTACTCCCACTGACAAGCTCTTACTCACTTGAGCAGTCTCAGTGAAATCAATATGAGTAAAGCTTATAAAACAGGGCCATGTATATATAAATGTATATTTATATACATATTGTAACAGGGTACACCAGTAGCCCCCTTTCTGGGTGCCAGTTGCCCTCCCAAATCAGGCTCAGAGAGACCTCAGGGTTGTGCAACAGCCATGTCTTTATTCACCTTAGGCTATGTCTACACTGCAGGCTTCTTGTGAAAGAACTGTTTTGCACATCCACACTGCCATGTGCTTTTGTGCAAGAGTATCCATGGCAGTGTAGATGCTCTCTTGCACAAGAAACCCCTGTTGCCCGTCCACACTTCCTTCTTGCGCAAGAGGGCTTATTCCTCATGGTGAGAGGAATAACTCTTGTGCAAGAAGCCCTCTGTTCTGATGCCTTGCTGTAAATGTACTTGTGCAAGAACGCACGTGCAGTGTAGACACGCCGCAAGTTTTGTTCTTGTGCAAGAAGCCTGCAGTGTAGACATAGCCCTCATGTGTTCTATCACCAGTGCCAAACTATTTATAGTCTTTACAGGGGTTTCCTCTTCTTATAGGCAGAGTCAGCCTCTGCTAGGAGATATCCAATGTATTTATTTATTTCCTTCCTTACACATTGCCTGCCCCCACCATCTGGCTCCCTCCCAGCCTTTATAGCCCTTGGCTCATCAGGTTGGCAGGTTTTGCCAAACCCCGCAGCTGGCATTAGGCCTTTTCATCAGCCCCAATCTGTTCCCCTTGGTTGGAGCTGACAGGGCAGGGATTAATCAGGTGCTCTTGCACTATCATGTGCTACACCTATATTCACGTACAGTGTGCACTATATGGGTGATTACAGACGTGGTACTTATTCGCTCTTCTCTGCTCCTGAGATCAGCACTCTGACTGTTTGGGTTGTAACCCGCCCACAGCAATGATGGTTTGTGAAATGATTGTAGCAAAACTGCACGAGTGGAAAAGGAGCCACAGAATTGCATCCTTCTGACGGAGGCTGGCTTTGTCTTTGTCAGGTCGCCGTGTTTTTCAGCTGCAGGGGGGCTGGTGGGCAGGGATGGAGGGGGGCTGGCAGAATACCTGTCAGACGTGAAAACTCTGGAGAAGCACGGCACCTAGACACAAATTGCTGTACGTAATGTGGCAGGAGAAGCTGTGTTGCTGGCATTTTATTGTTATAGTCGTCCAAGCCATGGCCACAACTGTCCTTAGCCACAGAGCGCGGCAGAGTGGGACGTGCCCTCTTGACCGGCATGGTTTAAACATGCATGCACACCCACGCTCCTGCACGTCCCTCTCCATACCCCGGTCCAGGATTTCACTGCAAATCACTGATTCTCTCATTTAAACTCTGGGAAATGTCCCTCCACAGAGAGTCAAGGCGGACATGCAAGTCCTCCAGAGGCGCTGAGCTGTCAAACTCCTCTGAGTATGGCGACAGTGGAGACAGCTTGAACTTAATTTCTTCTGTCTCCCGGTCAATGGTCCTGGTGAAGTCATCTATCTCAAGGAACGTGTCCCGTCTGAACTCCTCGATTCTCTGCTGCACTTCCAGAGCCAGGCCCTCCATGTAGGGGTCCACAGCCCAGTGAGGGTCGACAGCTGAGCCAGCAACCTGCTCCCTCAGGCCACTGGGGTAAAGGCGCAGCTGCTCCTTGAGGTGGTCCACGTTCCTCTGGATCTTCTGGTGGAGCTCCTTGGCATTCTGGGTCAGCTTCTCAGAGAGCTCCTGGATGTAATGATTAAGTTTCTCCGGGCTGACTTTGGTGTGGGGCATGAGGTTTCTGTGGAGTTCCTCCATGTTGCGGTGGATCTCAGTCACCAGTCTGGCAACGTATGGATGGACGACCTCCTTCACTTGGTCCGTGTGAAAGGCTATTTTCTTGGCATACTGAGCCATGAATCTCTGTACTTCATCTACGCCTTCCAGGAGCTGGGCCTTCATGTCTCGAGGAGGGGTGAGGTGCTGCTGGAGCTCCCTGGATTTCAGCAAGACCTGGTTCAGGAGCTCTTCGGTGAATGGGGTCAGCTGAAAGTGAAGCGCTTCCAGGTGCTTGTTGATTTTCTGGTGCACCTCGTCCACGTAAGGAGACAACTTCACCCTCAGGCCTTCCAGCTCCTTCCTGATGAGCCTTCGCAGGCCGTCAGAGTCCTCGTAGAACCGTGGCTGAAGCCCTCGGCTGAAGGGGGCCAGTTTCTCAAAGAGATTGCCCATGTAGCTGACTCCTTCTTGGATACTTTCTTTCACTTTTCTATGGGAAACAACAAACACACACACTTCTAATTGCCTGAGCTCTGAGTCGGCCTCCTCACACTTGTGTCCCCTGAGTGGCAATATTGACTGTATGGCCAGGCGCTGATTTAAGACATGAGGCTGTCAAAGATGTGTAAAGCACTAACTTTTCACCCCTCGAGACTTGGGCCTTGGTCGAAAGTTAAGATGAGCCTGGTGGTTCTCAGCTTAGCTTAGTCCCTTGTGGACTTTGCCTGTAGAACAAAAACTACATGGCAGAATCCATCCGGAGCGCAAGCTCAGAAGAGGCGAGAATAGATTAGGAAAGAGGGGCGTTGGGGTATCACGACTGCCATGGAGGCTTGTCAGAGAGCCGTTTGCATAGCCCTTGCCTGCAGTGTTGCGGGCCTAGTCAGCATGGCTGGCCACTGCATCCCACTGTTGCAGCCCGGAGCCCTGCCCTGTGATCCTTGCTCCCTGTCTTCACTGCTGGGCACGTTTGTTGAGCTCCAGGGACCACTTTCTGCTTTCCACTGGGCTTTTCTGTGTTTTACTTCAGGTTCACCACCAGCTGGCCGCGCTCCAGGGGCCTGGTTTGTATGGGCTCAACTGGTGATTAGCTCAAGCAATCTATTCTTTGAGTGTGGAAATGCCCAAGATGCCTATAAATGCAAAGGCCTTAGGGGCACTGTGCCTCGATAAAAACCAGTCGATAAACCGACCAGTTGTACGGCAGAGAGCAAGACCCCGATGTGCTTTGGCCTCTGACAGGGCAAGCGGCTTCAGGGCCCTGCCAGAGAAGGAGGTAACTGTACTCACTTGATCTCTTGGTCCAGCTTCATGCTCTGGGTTTGCACCACGCTGGCCTTGTCGTGAGTGAGCTGGCTGAGGTAATCCCAGAACCCATTCCTCGCCTGTTCATCCTGGCAAGCTGGAAAAGGAGCATGTAACAGAGTGACCTCAGGAGAGCCCCTTGGGGCAAGGCAGGATGCTGGCAGCAGGGAGGTGGCATGGAGGTGCTCCGGGAAGGGAAGGGAAGGGAAGGGAAGGGAAGGGAAGGGAAGGGCTGGTGTGGGGAGCCGTGCTTAAGCTGATGGAGCTCGCAGCCTGTGATCCTCAGGGGAGTATTTTATTCCGGGGATGATCAGGGGCCTCTTTACACTGACAAGTCCCAGGGGAGCTCCCTCCCCAACTCAGTAAAGGCCCCGATTTCCAGCACTAAGTGCCATGGGAGTTCTGGGTGCTCAGCACCAGTCGGCCTCAGTGGGGCTGACTCCCGAGGCACAGCAGACCTGCAGGTCAGTGGCAGGGTCAGGGCCACGCGTGTCGGGTCCAAACGCAGCGTGAAAGGAACAGGGCCTGAGCCTTCAGGGACAGGGTCAGAGCGACCCTGCCGTGCAGCACAGCGATAGCATCCAAAGAGCAACACGCTGGGGCGTCTGACGGTGTCTCCTTTCTCAGGGGATTGTCCCCTCCTGCTCCAAGCGTCATCCCCTTGTAAGCCACCAGGCCCCCGCCACGCAGGGGATCCCCGGCGCTATCCCCACCCAGGAAGGGAGACCTTTCCCCTGCCATGGCCACAGCCAGGAAGTGGGTCCCTGCACCTGGTTACAGAGACGAGCACCGACCTGCGAAGGTGGCCAGGAGCAGCGCCAGAAGGGCAGCTTTGGGAGTCATGGTCTGTCTGCTCCCTGGGCTGAGTCTCTGGGGAGAAACAAAGCAGAAAGCAGTTAGTGCCCTTCCCGCCACGGCCGGGCTCCACCTTCGTTTCCCTGCTCGTGGGGTGGGGGCCAGACTCATCTTCCAGTCCCCGAATCTGGGCTGTTGCTTTTCCCAAGGACGCGCCATGTTTCCAAGTGGGGATTTAAATTGCAGCTGGGGGGCACAATGTCCAGCTAGTGAGTGTAAAATACAGTCCACGAGGCCAGACTCTGACCCTCTCTCTAGGAGTTCCCTCCCGCTTCACGGATTTCAGGGGGATCTCTCAAGGGGTAAGGCACCTAGAGAAAAGGACTCTAGAACTGGCCCAGATAAACTGCCTCGGCGGGGGAGCAAAGGCTGGACACACGCGCTGGTTCCTGGCCCATAACTCGGGCTCGCAAGGCACTACCGTGCTACAACTCCACCATAGATTTGAGTCTGTCTGTGCGTCCGTCCGTCTGGTCGAGAACTTCTCCTAGACGGTAAGAGCTGGGACCACCCAATTCGGTGCACGGCTTCCTCTTCCCAGAACTTAAAGCAAGGGCAGGGTTAGATGTGCCAGGACAATGGGATGTGCCTGGAATGGGATTGCTCCTCCGAAAACCACACAGAAAAGAGGCTATCACCAGGCAAGCGAAGGGGGCTGGCTGGGGGCCCCTCCCCTCTGGACTGCCCCATCCCCAAGCCTCCCACTCCAAGGCACCCGTTAGGGAGGGCTGAAATTCCCGATTTACATGGGAACAGTGTCGCCTGTTCCTTCTTCAGGAAGCGAGGGGAAAGCGCACAGTTTGCTGCATTCCTCACTTTGGCTGACGAGAGCAGGGGGCCAACACACTAGGATCTGACTCAGCCGGGGGCCGTGCACCCCTCCTCTGGCTCTGCCTGCAGAAGCTGCAGTGGCCATGGAGAGGCGCTTCTCCCCTAGGTCCAAGCTGCTGCCGTGAGAGAGGTTTGGGGGAGGCCTCTCTCCCCGGGGCAGCCTGGAGACTGACCCCCCCTTCCCAGCCCCACGCTAGAGCAACGATTCAAAGGAAGAGAGCAGAGGTGCCCTCGATTTGCACAGTGCACGGTAACCATCCCAATCTCCGTGTGGGCTGGACATTCATGTGTCCAAATGACCAGGGGCTCTGCTCTGCGCTGTGCGCTGTTTTCAAGAAGATAGCCCAGAAAGCTGCTTCCGGTACCTGGAACTACCTCAGGGGAAATCGTTGTCACAGATCGGCCCATTGGCACCCTGGCACACTCGGAAGCCCTGTTTCCAAGCACCTTACGGTGCTCTGTGATGATTCCACCCCCACTCCTCGCAGGTTTGTGCACACCACCTTGCTACAGCGTCTTTCACCCCAGGCTTTCAAAGAGCTTTGCAAGCTAAGCAATCCACGGTCACAGGCAACAGCCGGTCAGCTCTGTTTGCCCATTGTAGAGCTGGTGGAACTAAGGCTAGAGTGTCCGTGAAAGAGTTGGGTTTAGAGTCCAGGAGACCTTCCTTGCTCTAACCGCTCAACCATACTCCCTATGACACAGAAATGGAGCACAGGAAACCCCTAGGTAACACTCCAAAAGGTGGGCCTAGAACCCACGGAATTCTGCTCCAACTTCTACACAGAGCCCTGCCCAGATAGGAACTTTTGTCTCCGCATCTGCATCTGCAATGAGCCGCGGCTACCCGCAGATACAAAGCGGATAGCCGCAGCTTTGCGGGGCTCTGCTTCCACGCAACACTCCCGGGAAAAGGCCCTGAGCTGCAGCAGAATTCAAGACCTGTATCCCCTGCACCTTACCGAGCTGCGGTTCACCTGCTGTCCTCTGTGAGTCGGCCCCCGGCACTCGCTGCTCACTTTATATATGAATCAATATTAAGCAGCAGGCTCAGGTGACGGGAGGTCCCATATGCCTCTGCAGAGCCAGCAGCTTTGGACCTCACTCCATGTAAATACAACGTGGAGGTTCAAAGACATTTGCAGGGGATGACGTGAGTACCAGTCATCTGACTGGCTCTCCCACATCACTCACCAGCCTGGGTCCCCCCCCATCCAGCTTTCCCAGCAAACCACCTCCCGCCTCAGTGGCTTACAAACAAAGTTAACCCTTTGCATGCTGCAGAAATGTAGGCGCCAGACATCCTCCTAAGCATCCACTGGGCAAAGCAAGTTAGAAGCCGGCAGGGAACGAGAACCAGTCACAGGGCCTCACCCGGCTCTTCTTGATGGACCAGACGGTGCGTTGCCAGTGACAAGAGGGGCCTTGCTGGTTGCGCTGCCCAGGTCTCTGCGTTCAGGTGAAGCTGGATTCAGGGCTGACCTTTGTATCCCGGTCTCATACACCAGAACAAACAGCACTATCTGTTTGCCGGGCTTGACACAGCTCTGCCGTGGGGTTCAACAGCCATGCAACCAAGTGTGAGCTGCTCTCCCGTGGAAAATGGCTGGGGGGGATTTGCCTAGAATCCCAGTGGGAAAAGCAGGGGGCTGTTAATGTTGGAGACTGTTGCCCTACCGCTGCACATCATGGTGAAGTTTGGATGATCACGGTAGCACCTGGAGGCCCCCTGAAGATCCGGCCCCAGTGTGCTGGATGCACTACAAGCACAGCGTGAGAGTCGGTCACTGCTCTGAAGAACGGGCAAAGGGTGGGTGAAAGGAAGGGCCGTGGTCCCTGCTTTGCAGCTGGGGATCAGAAGCACAAGACGAGATGGAGAGAGTTGCTCATGGTCACAGAGTCTCTGGCAGAACGGAACTGACCCTAGATCTCTGAAATCCAGCCCAGGGCTGTAGCCTGGAGATAACGGAACCTCTTCCCGCCGGCAGCATGTCTTTGCAGGAACCATCTCTCTGGACCTGCCTGCACACCTCCTCGTGCAATGGGGCTCTGAGCCCAGCCAGAACCTCATTCATATAAATATGAAATAGTAATAACAACAAATGGGGGGAGATTTAGAAAAATGGTGCCTTTTGGCCCTGAGCACTTCCATAACCCAAACAGCTCCTCTTTTGCCCAATTTCAGCAAAATGGCTGGCTTTTTTCCATCCAGACCCCCCCACATTGAAGTTTCTTGCGTGTTTCATTCATGCCTTTTGACCGGTGAAACAATGTCAAGTGTTTGCGGACAACATCTGTAAAAAGACATGTCTCTGAAAACCCCCCAGCCTTTCTGAGCGAAAGCGGGGCCGCGTTAACGTGGGAATCCATGCTGGAGAGTGTGTGGCAAAACTGAGCCCTTTCCAAACATTCAGAACCAAGTATGGGCCCCCGGCTGCTGGGTGCCTTGGAATGTCATTTCAGGGTCTCCCCCCACCCGCGCCTGAGGCAGGCAGGCTAGGAAGTAGCCGTCAGGGTGCGGCTTCAAAATCAGGGACCATCCGTACACTGCAGGGAGCAGACAGCAATGGGTAGTCAGGGATCTCTCCAAGACATCTCCAGCACCCAGAGGGCCATGGAGATGTAGGAGGAGCCCGCATGGCCTCCACTAACACAACCAGATCCCTACCCACACTGCTCTGTGCGGCAAGGACTGCGAAGGGCAGCGAATTGCTGCCAGCTGCACGTTGGTCTCCAGACTGCGCGCTCCTGCTAAGAGATGTAAGGGCCCGATAAGCTTCCCCTTGGCTCCAGCAACCCAAGGCCGCGTAAGAGCCGGTGAGCTCTGGGGGCACCAGTGTGGTAGAGCAGGGTGGGGTGGCTTTGCGTTGGAAGGGGGAGGGGATCGCTTGGACATATTTGTTTTGAGGGAAATGAACCCAACTCTGCAAACAGTCGCAGACGCTCCCCCCGACTCTGCCCCACTGTCCATCCACCTCGGGCCGGTGCATTCTGAGAATTAATCTGCAACCCTTTACCTCGGTCGGTGCGGGTGTCACTCTAGGCCATAAGGCCCTTCTGGGAATCGCAGCCGGGGTGCCCTGCCTCCTGCGGTGGCTGTGTGTTATCTGTGTGCCGATCGGCGGAGCTGACAATCTGCATCTGTTCCCGGCAGTCACTGATCTGTTCCCGGCAATCTGTTCCTCCCCGCACCCCCGTTTTCCTCCCCACCTGACCCCGAACTGCCTCTCTCCAGCCCAGCCCAGTAACCGAGGAAACGCTCCTGCAGCATGCCCCTCTCGGAGGGCACGCTCCAGCCCCGGGGGAAACTTGGGCCTAGCCTGTCCGGTTCCTGGTTCCAGGTACCAGGTGTTTCATGTGAACGTAGCCCCGGAGACGGGTGGCCTGGGGATCTCTGCACATCTGCAGGTCAGGAGCAGCCCTGGGAAGGCTCCCTGGCCTTAGCGGAGTCCCTCACGCCACCAAGGAGAGAGGGAGTCCGGGCTCCGGGTCCATTCATCCCCTCGCCTCACTCCTGAGACTGCCCAGCGGGCAGCCAGTTATTGCCAAGAACGGGGCTGGCGGTTTTGTGACATGGACGCTGGGAACGGGGATGAGGCCACCAAAGAGCCTTGAGATGGGGGGTGCGGGGAGGCCGCATGCAGCCTCTACTTGCTGGAGCCAATAGCTGCTCAGACAGGGAAGCGGGGTACTGAGGCAGGACTAGCCCCCGGAGACCCAGGCGACACCAGGGCCTCGCCGTGCTGGGCACTGCACACACCGGGCAGGAGAGCCCTGCACTAAAGAGCTCACAGCCTAGATCTCATGAGCCATCCCCGCCTGCCTTCCCCAGCTTTGTCAGCTTTGGGACCGGGCTTGTCTCCCCCTGCCCTTGTTCCCTGGCCCTGCGGCCCGTGTTCGCGCCAGTCCACACGCACCCTGCACCTCGCGAAATCGCTTCTGATCTTGGGTTTCCGACAGGCGCAGCCAGCCGGCGCGGGCGCTAGTGGTCAGGGGGCGTGGAGAGCAGCAGCTATCTAGCCTGTTGTGTTTGTGGTACAGGAGTCACCAGGACCCCCTGGTGCTGGGCGTGGCACAAACACAGAGCAGGCGGCAGGCGTGGTCACAAGGCGTTTCCGCCATCACGCTGTGCCTCTGCAACAAGGTGTCCCTGGGGTCTCCCGACAAGCACAGGGACAGCCTGCCACTGTGAGAGTGGCCTGGCTGCAGTGACCTGTCTTCACAGCTGCCAGAGCTAGCATGCTGCTGCCAGAAAAAGGCCTCTCCTTGCCACCAATGTTCCCTCTGAGTGCATCCATCCACGTGCGGAATAAGTTTTGTTATGTGCACCAAGGCATGTGCAGATGAGAATCACATTCTGCCAGCTGTGGACACTGCTAATCAGTGGGGCAGCATTGGCATCGCTCCTGGGTGCTTGCAGGAGCACTCTTTGCCGCTCCGGGGTGAATCACGTTAGTTTTACCTGCTTCGTGGAATGCAGCTAGGTAGCCCCCGCTTCCCGTGGCCCCTGGGGCAGTGGGACTGCCCGGCGGGCGCTAGATAACAGGCTCTCTCTCTACATGCTGTTTGCCTAGCAGTGTTTGCCTGGACTTTAGCAGGGCTGAGCTTAGGCAGTCGAGGGGCAGTCTGAGCCAAAGCCAATGCAATGCCGTGTCGCGCCCGCCTGCAGAAATGATGCTGATGAGAAAGGAGGAGGGATTGCAGCAGCCAGCAGGAGAAACCCTCCCCCGCCGGGTGTCTGAGCAGCACCCCAAAGGAAATCCAGACGCTGGAAAATGAACCCACCCCACCCTAGCAGGGCTGAGCTTAGGCAGTCGAGGGGCAGTCTGAGCCAAAGCCAATGCAATGCCGTGTCGCGCCCGCCTGCAGAAATGATGCTGATGAGAAAGGAGGAGGGATTGCAGCAGCCAGCAGGAGAAACCCTCCCCCGCCGGGTGTCTGAGCAGCACCCCAAAGGAAATCCAGACGCTGGAAAATGAACCCACCCCACCC